CTTCTTTACGTATAATATCAAATTTATATGTATAAAAGAATTATTATTTTTTGAAAAACTAATAAAAAAATGTAATAAATAAATATATTGTACTATTTACTGTGTAATCATATCGATTTATTTAATTATTTTATTTAATATTTGTTTACTTAATTGTTGATTAAAAGATTCAAAATATCGACTAAAACTATTAAAACTTTCCTTTTTTTTACTAACTTTTTTTATTAATAGAATGTTTTTCCACTCAGAAATTGAGCATTAAATGTAAGATTCTAGAAATAATAGACAATGAAAGTGTATTTTAAAAGATAATTTTGCAAATAAAGGGGGTAGTTATAAAATGTTTTTGTTTTATTTAGTATACTTAAATATATATAGTAATATAATATAACTAAATATATTTTTAAATTATATATTACATTATACTTATTTAATAGAAAAAGTCATCTAACATCTTTTATTTAATATCTTTTTTCTTGAAATTACTCTAAAATTACTCTAAAAAAAAATATGAAACATGCTATTACTTTTCTTAATTATATTACAATATAAACTGCAGATTTATTTTAAGAAAATCAGCAAGAATTCTCACCTTCACCCATGTCATTAATATCATTTAGAAGTCTTTGTCGGGCTTCCCTGTTAGATTGCGTTTGATTCTTGCTATTTGGCGATGAAGTATCGGCCGACTCATAGGTTTTACACTTGGAAATGTCACCTTCATTGTTAGCACACTCGATTGTATCCGAAGTTTTCAATAGATGTTTTCTGTTCACGGGCTCGCAAGAATAAATGGCGATGAAACCGCCTAATATCAGAACCGCGAAGAGTCGCCAAAGCATGTTCGATCAGAACTGACGCTTTGTGAAGATCGTCATATTTATAGGCTCTAGCAATTAGTAATAATGGCGAAGTAAAGTGGTGTTACGACATACAGAGCGTGAATGCATCTATGGTAAAATGCATCATGCGCATAAAATTATTCCAACGTACGGTGCTGCAGAACCGTACGTTTCTGCACGCATATAGTGGCGGATCCAATATACGTACAAGGATACACATCTAGTGTACATATAGTATTGTACTTGCCACATTGTTAAATGGAGTGCATGAAGCGCAGTGAGAAGATAAATCTCAGCGGCGCGTATCATTATTTCGTCCTATCAGAAATATGTATTTGTGGAAGTATGTGATGCAAGTTGACTCGCATATTCGAATTTACGCTTGGAGAGATAGATGGCTAGATAAACAACAAGATAGGTGAGAAAAGTAGGTGGGGAGGATGACATAGATGAAATCTCAAATTTATCGAAATCGAAGGTCAAGCATCAACGAATATGTTGGTCGTACAATAGCTATTTCTATACAAACGCTTGATACAATTTGGATGTATATGTACTGTTACGGATCCATAATTTGCGAGAAAGGTAATTTATTTAATATCAAATAGACCGATAATAGAAACGTTGAAGAAAGTAGAAAGTGATGTGAAACATACGATTAATTTTTGTATTACTCCTAACTAATGTTTTATTTATCTTACATACACACACATACTCAGGTTTCGTTTCGACAGGTAGTCGTTTAGTTTAATTCAAAATGTCAATTGTTTCTATTATTTGATATTAATGATTGTATATTATTATGAATTTGGAGATTTTTCTCCAATATAATAAATGATGTAAAAATTAATTAAGTTTCCTATTGTCAAATATATAACGATATTATTTGTCAAAAGTTCTTCTACAGTACTTTAATTTGAAGTAAATAATCATCATCACCTTATGTATTATTTTCAATTACACACATTGTGGTATATAAAGTGACAGTAAAGATTGTTATATTACTGAGTGGAAGAATGATGCTCTGATTTATTATGCACCGCAGCTGTCATTTAAAAAGTTATTAAAATGAATGCGTGAACTGAATTAAGATGATAAGTAGATTGTCAAGTGAATGAAAAAGCTTTCTTTTCACTTGTTACAGCTCCCACGATCCTCGCGCGCCGGAAAGTGGAGAATAAGGTCTAAAAAGCATGATCTTTTTCTTCGACGAGTGTTTTGTATGCCACTGGGCCAATCGAGCATCCTCGATTTACTACTCAGTGTATTACAGACAGGGTTACAGCCTCTGAAGGTTACCAGCTATACGCATCATAACATGGCACGAAGAATGCAGCTCCTACTCTTTAGTATCTAATAGACGTTTAAAGTTCCTTGCATATCCCCGGTGTTGTAATGTAAGGTATTATAATTCAAAGAGCCATTATTCTTTCTACAATATTTTGCAATCTTGTTTTATAGATCCTGTTATGTCTGCTATGTAATTTTGATATTTCTGCGTGTAGCTTTTCCTTGGTTCGATTATGCTCATCATGAGCAACTACGCTGGATTATTTGAACGATTTTTTGCGGACATGCCGTTTCAACATTTTAAATCCGATAGAGCTCTTTGGAATATAAATTTTTTCATTTTTTTATTAAATCGTACTAAATTTAATGCTTTTTTTTGAACAAACATGATCCGACAATGAGCTAAATCAGAACCCTCCACATCCGAATCGGCAGAACCACCTGTTGCTGATCATTGACCTGAATCTAATAACAGGCAGAAACGTCCTGTTCTTGTCTAAAATATCTCTCGAGGAAATCACTCATGACGATTTAACCTATTGCCTCACTTTTATTATTCCGGAAACCTGTGTGTTCCATACAATAACTGATGTTTCGTATAGGTGACTTTTACTACGTAAGGCTTTTATAAATTATCCATTTTTCCCATACTTTATAGTTTAGTTTTAAATCATGAAGTCCAATGATAAATGGGTAGCCTATTTTAATTTTAATTTTCATTTTTTTTTTTACAAAGAATAGTATCATTGTGACTCAATGACGCCTTGGTAAGTATTCTTTTGGCAAACTTCCGCGAATTAGACGTTGAGGGATGAATGGGATAATTCATGAGGCATCATTAAGATAAATGTCTCGGCTGAAACGTCCTACTTTTCTACTTTTGCGAACAATCGAAAGTACGCCGCTCTTGGGACCTGAGTATCAGATAACAAATAATTGCGCACTGTGCGTAGACTCATAGCAGCGAAATCCATTTCTCGCACCATTCGTGAGAATATAACTGCACGCTCAGAATGTGGCACGGGCCTTAATACAGTTAAACACCGTCTGTGTAAGCCCGTAGCACTGACTATGGGATAATCGCGAAGTAGGTAACAGTATGGAGGATGCATCGTTGGCTGTTGTCGCATTAGAGATGCGCTAACCTCGATCGAATGTGTCGAGGATGCGCCAGGCGCTCAGCTTCACGCTCCTAACAAATCGTGATACAAGAAGAAAACAGAATACATTGGACCAGATAATTTCACCTTGTGGGTTTGCACACGTTATTAATCCTTTCGAGGCTAAGTGCTACAATTTCGTACACAAAAGGTATGCAGATTTTTTTTATCTTCCATGTACAGTCCATGGCGATTCCTTAAAAGAAATAAAAGATCTGTTCTAAAATCATAATAATAATTATTTTATAAAAAATGTAGCTGTCTTTGAATCCTAAAATCTTGTTTTGTTTTAACTGTATAAAAGGATTATTTATTTAGTATATCTTTTAGTAGTAGCAAATAGAAAGGTACAAAAACATGTTCTAATGAATGTATTAATCGGTATACATATGGAGTGCATATGTGTGTCAAAACGTTGCTAGTAATTGAGTAAATTAGCTAATTATACGCCATAAGGTTGCGAATTCCACATTCGTAATGTACATTTATCTACTGATAATCTCTATTTCATGGCTATCAGACCAAAAATGAACGACAGCTGGTTTATATATAACGTTGTGTTGAGGGAGATGCAATGTGTATGTAATCAAAAAGCAATTTGTGCAAGAGTAAGGTGCTATGCAGTTATAAGTTGTACTATTGCGCAATAAAGCAGTATCGCATCATGTAATCACAAAGCGCGTTGCTGTTTTGTTCGTCTCGCTTTACGTATTTCAGTGTCAATAAATCTGGAACAAAATGAAATCTCTTCTTCAACGTCATATCTTGCTGAAAGAATAGAGATAGTAAAGACAATTTCAAATACATTTTACGTTCTTCATACATTAATGTGATTTATATTTATTAATTTATATTCAGAGCGCAACTGTGAAAAAAGATTAAAAAAATGAGAAACGGTTCGTGACGATTGTCGTTAGATAAATACAAAACATTATCCACCATCTATGCGGGACACAACATGATGAGAATGATACACCAAAATGCAGGGAAAGTAGATCATCCGTGTCGATAATCCTCGCTCATTCCACGCCGCAGGAAAATCGTACGATAGGAAGGTCACGGGCTGTCCGTAACCTGGAACCAGTTTCTACAATAGCATCCTCACGTTATGCTAGGGGTCAGAGAGATCACGGTGCCAGATACTCTGCCAATGCAGTCTACGGCGCTCCCCTCTGGTCTCATCTCAACACAGGCTTTGCCTCTCTTCTCCCGCGCAAAATGCGAATCATGATGAGACCGCACACTAACATGACGCGGAAGATACACACATAGTATCTCCAAGTACATAACCGCCACAGTGAAATTTAATGAACGAATCGCGTGGTAGCGAATCGCGTTGAACAGCAGTGTCTCGATCTCGAGACGCGAGTGGGTCTCTGTGTCAGGAAGGGTCACATGTTCTTGGCGCGCTACCACTATGAGAATTTTTACTTTGGCCCCGTCCCGCCGCGACGGCAGCTGTCTAGCGAGCTGAAAGAGAAAGAGGAAGATGCAAGGACGAGAGGGGTTTGCGATGGGGAGAAGAAAGAAGAGATTATCCACTCATACAAGTGAGGTCGTGTCGTCACATGCACCAGCATATCCGTCCGTTTATACGAGAGAGATACCTCATCCCCTTCGTGAAGGATGGTATCTAGGAGGATGGCAACTCGCTGGTATATATCTGCTCGGAGGCTTCGTCCTGATGCCAGTTCTCTCTAGTCGAGGATCATCTAGCTCGTGGGTGCGCGCAACTATTCGTATATCCGACTAGTCACTTCGAATTTCGAGTCGCGTGTCTCTCGCGTGACTTCGAAGATACGAGGTGTCTGTGATTTAATCCCAAAATTGTCCAGTTAAGCATTCGCGAGTTGGAAAACCATCCAAATCCAACATGTTGGCGATTAAGATTATATCAAAGTGCGTGCTGCTGTTGTTAGTCTGCAGTGCAATTCATGCCAATGAGGACGGCGGATTCCTTGAACGAGGATACCGTGCTCTTTATCGTGTCTACGAGGAGTGCGAGCATCGCAATATGGCCGTGTCGCCGTGTTTGAAGAAGAAGGCGATCGCCTTTTTCGAGAGACTCGGTCGTATACAGACTTTACCGATCAGCGATAATCTCGAGCTGGTCAAAGTCGCTTCTGCGACGGATGATAGCTCGAAAAATACGGTTCCCGATCTGGAAAAGACTTTGGCTAGAACTAACGGAGGGGCCATGGACGAAATGCTCAACGATATTCTGTTCGAGCGCGTAGCCGCGCTAATGAACAGTTTCAACGTGCAGATCAGCTTACCAAAGACAAATTCTGGCGAATTGAAACGAAGTATTGAGGAAGGTCGTGGGAAAATGAAGAAGATGATGGGCATGATGATGATGGGAATGGCGATGAAACTCGCCGCGTTAATTCCCATTGCTATGGGCGTGCTTTTCCTGCTGGCAGGCAAAGCTCTGATCATCAGCAAGATCGCTTTAGTTCTGTCGTTGATCATCGGTTTGAAGAAACTATTAAGCCAAAAGCAGGGTCACGATCATGGCGGCTGGCAGCAAGGCGGAGGTGGATGGGACAGAAGCCTGAAGGGAGTTGTAGACGCACCTGTATCATCAATAACGGAAGCCGATCGCGAATACGCTCAGACTTTAGCCTACAACGCACGGCAGAAGCATTAAACAATCCGCAGCAGGAAGAAACAATGGGAAATCTTCAGGTATTAGGAGGAAGCAACGCCTGTATCCAAAGGAGCAGATAATATGCAATTTCAGAGACAGTTCGGAACAACGAAATAGATTCACTTATTTATGTTTTAAAATAAATTTTATCATTTATAAAACATCGCATTTATGTGTACTGCATAGATTACGATAAAAAGAAGAGAGTGTATAGATGGAATATATCAGTGATGTTATTGTTAAAATAAGAAAAAAAATATGAACGAAAATATAGAAAATGCAAAAACTTTAAAAAAATTGAAAGTAGGAAAAAAGATTCAATTGGACGAGCTGTTCTTATTCGTGTAAATTTTTAACAATTTTTAACAAGTCTGATCGCTTTTTAAATGATCATCGATATGATAATAATCGCATCGTAATTTCTTCTAAATTAATTATAAATAACGTAAATATTTAATGATACGATAATACAATATGTAGTAAATTTTATTATTATATACATTTGGAGCGAAAAGGAAGTTACCGTAAAGAAGCTATTTCGACAATTTTCTGCAAAGCGAGAAAAATGCGCAAGCTGTAAAAATGTATAGCTGGAATGTAAATAACTGTCAAAAAATATAAAACAAAAAAGTGATGACGACAAATATTTCCATTTCAACTGTCAATTGCCTCAGTAAACAATCTAACAAAATGTGATAGCGAGAGAGTAATTTTCACTCACGAAAACTTCTAATGGTACCTGTTTGAAGTTTTTGTCGACAATCAAAACGCGATCAATCACGAGGTTAAATGAAAAGATGACAGATTTTAGTCTTTGATTAGCCGAATTTGTAGTCGTTTCTCAGTACACTTGCGATATTTATATTTATTTATTTATTTAGTACCTCACCAAGGTAGGCAGAAAGTATTTATTTTAGATTTATAAAATAACTTTAGAGAGAGTTTGGAATGTGTAGCTTGCGACAAGTACTTACATCTGTATCAATATTTACGTTACTAAAATCTTGTGTTCAGTAGAGTAAGCGTAACGATTAAAATACTTGAGTGTTAAAATGTAGTGAATAAGAAATACTAATTCCATCATCTGTCAACATTTATTATATAATGATTAATTTATATAAATATATTACATTTTAAGAAGTGTAACATTTATTTCGTAATGATCGTAATACATGAGAATTGTTTCGCGTAACGTTTTCCATTTGTAGTGTCTAAAAGATGAAAAATAATTTAATTTAATGTGTTTACAAGTATACACTTGACGCGACGCATTTTCTAATGTATACGAAATGTATACGAAATGTATACGTTTGACTCCGAGAAGCGATTATAAATTCGGCTTAAGCGTTACTTTGTGCACACAGGCGTTCAATACTTTCTCAAAGATAAGTTACACAAGTCTAACCTGATTGTAAATTATTACGAAATAAAGTCGTATGTCATTCTCACTTCTTAGTATATTCTTGGTGCTCTCCTTCTAAAGATCCTGATTTCGTTGTCAATGTATCTTCAGTCCGAGAACGGCAGCAAACAAGGCGAAGAAGAATCCCGCAAGCAGCGTCGTTCCTTTGAGAAGAATCAAACCTCCAAGTATTGTTGGTATCAGAGCGACAAATTTGAGTTTATATGCCATCAGCAACGCCAACATAGTACGGCCAACCTTTCGTTTCTTACGCCGTGCTTCATCTGAAAATTATCACGAACAATATGATTAAAATCTTGAATATATTTTCGATGATTTAGATTTGAAATAATGAAAATATCGAATTATTTAATACTGTTATATTTATAATAATATGATTCTAGATATGAAAACGATTTCACTTACAAGAAAATTTATTACAATTGAAAAATTAACATTAAACTCATTGATACTACTTGTTAGGATTTTAATGTAAAAATTATAAAATTTTAAATTATCGACATAAATGTTCGATATATCTCATTTCAATAATGAAAACCATTATAACATATCTTAGAGAAAACCGTTATACAACGGTACCGTTAATCATACTTCATCAGAATGACAATTCAAACATAACATTTGCTGCTATTTTTTTACATCAGTGTTTTATAGCGCTTGCATTAGAAGATAAAAGCATTTCTGTCATTAAGCATTATAAGGCCGGTTTTAATTTACCTCGTTCCTCCACTTCAATCTTAGAATGTGCATTATAGAAGTCTTCATCAATTGAACGATGAATCTTGGCTATGTTATTTTTGACGTTGTGACCATTGACCGAAGAAATAGGATTCTCGAAGGTGATATTATCATTCATGTACCTAAGGATCTTCTCGCCGGAAATGACGGTTCTCTCTTCTTTCTGCCATTTCTCTGACGTCGATTTCGAATGCTCACTCGCGCGACTGACGCAATTCAAGGTCAGCAAAACCGCGACCAGATTAGCTCTCAACAGCATCTTTTCTCGCATTCATGAAGAATGAGTTCTCGCTGGAAATCCACTGATGGTATTTGCACGGTTTCGTCTACAATCTTACTCTTTCGTCTATCTCACCTTATTTCATTGTCAAGACGTCATCGCGCACTGATTGATTTTCCTAGATCAGGGAGTACCCGACGAATGTTTCCTCGAATAACATCCGAATGACTGACGAAGCGAGCACTGTCTTTCTCTAGGATCGACGATGAATCACGAAAGATGAGCTACGGTCGTCACGACATGCCTCTTCCGTTGCTCGTGTCCACTTTTGGTTGAGCTCGTTTTGTTCCGTATGCAAGATTTTAAAGTTGGATCTATGGAAACGACATATGGAAAGAGAGAAGATGTCAACTGGGTATGGGCAATATAGAAAGAAGGAATGAACGGTGCAACGAACAACCGCGAACTAACTGATCCGCCGTTGATCCACTGTTCGACGACAAACTGACCGGACGCAGTGGATACCACGCCGGGCACGCTTCAGTTGCCGAGAAAATCGGCAGTCCGTGTAAAATGAGCTCCGACCGGTGAGCCAGCGATATATACGCTTGCGGTAAACACTATGATCCAAATTGTCAGTACCGATATATGTGTCACGTTATATCGCAGAACGGTATATACGATGCATAGACACGGTCATACCAGATAAGAAGGTTTCTGCGGGTGTTCTCGTCGCGTAAGAGAAAGGGAGTGGAGGCCGTCGCGCGAACGAGCGCATTATAATGCCTCTATAGGGGCGGAAATGGTTTTGCAGAAACACGATGTATTCGCAGTGAACGTCGTTTTGCAATGAACGCGATTTTTTTTAAGTTACGCCACGCAGATATCCGGGCCAAAGAAAATTTGATGATCTTCACGTTGGAAACGTTTCGTGTCTCTAGTCATCGTATAAGATCATAGCGTGATTTGCTTTATCTCTGATGTTCTTATCTCAAGGAAAGTCAGCTTATAAATGTTTGATCTAATTTTCAAATCTCTATGATCAAATGCTCATGTACTTTTGTATCTTTTAATGATTTTTTTTATTCTCTTATACTAAATTCTAAGATATTTTACATTTACAAATTGGCATAGTACGTTGACTGATAATCTTATCCGATTGTGATTATTTGCATGAGCAATTTCCAATATTTTAAAAACAACGTTTCTTTGTTTAGAAACTTATTTTAAAATTAACTAAAAGAACATATATTTATTTGATATATTCACTGTTAAATAATCTTATTTGTAAGTTAAAATATGTAAGTCACTGTTATTTTTAATTTAATCTCATATACTTGTGATTGAAATAATATCCGCTGGATATCCGGAAAAAGTTGTGTCACTGTTTCACTTCATTCCCTTCCACTCGCTTTTCAATTTTGTTACGCCACTTTTAGATTATCGATTGCCTTTCTTTTGTCAGAGCATCATCCCACACTCATAACAGAGCATCACAAACTGCACTACATTTTACAATCTGCTGCATATTTATCTGAGCTATCTGAAGCACGTTCCGCTTAAGTGCACAATGGAATATTGCACATTGCTCTAACCACGACATAAATGAGCATCTTATTGAGTATTCTGCCCGTAGGATAAGAAATTAGAAATCTGCGTGTATACACGTAGAAATCAACGTGAAAAGACTGGGATCTTTTTTTTTTAGTTACGCCCAGCAAACATGCGGGTTGCTAATAATCCGGTAGCTTTAAATGATCCTTACAACCTGATAATATTTTCTTCTCGTTGCGTTTAATGTATTAATTTGCGTATGTAGGTATATGGGTCCAAAAATACTTGTACACACATACACACACACACATTGCGCTCTTACGGTTACTTTTAATTTATCTTAAGATCAATTTCATAAGAATATTAAATACAATATTTTAACACAATGAGAACATGGGTGTTATTTAACTGATTTAATATAGGTTCTATTACTTTTATAGAATTTGATATGACAGAGAAATGTTTCTTCATAAAGTTATACATTATTGAAATTCAAATAAAACGGAGATTGTATTATTGCATCGTTTACCGAATAAGTAAATGTAATAAAATAAAGTGTACGCGAGATTGACAATGTATATAATAGAACGAATTTATATTATTTAACATCTACAGAGTAGACAGTTATTAATGTATTTAATATTCATTAAATTGCGGAAAAATGTAGTGAAATTATAACAATTTGCATAATTAACACAAAGCATTCGAAACGTGTATCGGATGCCCGCGTACGAGATTGATGAGACAAAGCATTAGATACAGCGTGAAATGTTTCCATTTTATTAAATGATTAATAGTCTGACTGTTTCCAACAATTATCAGGTTCTTATCTGCTCTGAAAATCACGAGTCACATGCATCATATTAAATAAAGTGATACTTAACAATCATTATCACATATGTACTCTCTCCTTGACTTTCTTCATTCTCGGATATTACATCGAGGCAGTTTCACAAGTAATAAACCTGTATATTTACCAACTTGAACAGAGAACTTGCACGCACTAATTACGCACTCGTAGCAAAATTGTTTTTTTTGGATACGTTGTTTTTAGTTTGTGGCTAATAAAAGACATTACCTGTATATTATGTTTGTCGCTATTGAAATTATCAGACTAGTTATTTAAAGATAGAGCATTAGTCGAGTTCCTCGTGTATGAAGCCGACAACCTACATATCGGTACAGTAGTTTTATTCATATACCTCCTAAGTATATCACTTCAGATTCTTGGAAAGAGGAAATAAAGAATAATTTGTTTTTTTTAAGATCTTAATAATAATCCTAAATAATAATGATCGTTAGGAGGAAGATATCAAAAGACGAAATGATAAAATGATAAATATTAATTCTGTTATTATAATGATTTTTGGGGTTATATATATATACATATACATATTGTCTTACCATTTATTTTTATATTTATTGCAATCTATGATAAATTCTTATAATCTATGATAAATTCATATGGTAAAAATAATTCTTTTCACATATGAAAAAATTAAAGTTTTCGTGAAAGTGGAGACGAAATCCATCATAGATGTATATTTCGTTTCACAATATTAAGTTAATGTTTTATGCACATTTAAAGTTTGGAGGAGGTCATTTCAGCCACAGTGCAAGATGAAATTTTGTAATTGTTAAAAATCATTTTTATGTATAATAAAATTGATTGTTGAATCAGATAAAATTAATGTGATGAAACAGAAAAGAATGAAAAACGTATTTTTTATCGAAAAATGCTAAAAATGATCAATTTTTTAAACCTTAAAAAACCATAGTATTCATATCTTTTTCATTAATATTCACAAAGATAAAAAAGCCGAAAAAAGAAGAAATTTAAACCATTTTCGATTACAAATTTATTTTTTAAATCATTTTGTACTACTCCAATTTATCTATTCCAATTTAATTTTTTTGATTCAGTGATTAATTTTATATGGAAATATATGATTTTCAGATAATCGCAAAATATGATATTATTATGTTATGATTAATTGTGATTATTAGGATCAAAGAATATTAGCCAATTAACAATTGTTACGTTGAAATATTAGAAATTAAATTATCTTTAGAATAAATAAAAAAATTTCAGGCAATATTTATGATTACTATAGCTTTATAAGCATAATGTATAATATATAATTTGTGAGCTTACTCACATGGAACTATTATTACTGTTATTACTATTGTTATAGTTCTAATTTTATCAAATAACAGGCGCTCACGAAAGAGGAGCCTATCATTAACGATATAATAACTTTGCTTGTGTAAAAAATGAATTAGCCTAATAATGTTAACCCATGTAAGTATAACGGTACGAAATAATAAATAAGATACTAAGCTATAAATTAAAACACGCATAAAAGTTTTAAAAAATTGCTTTTTAAATAAAAGTTTCTACATTTAAAAAATGTGCTAGATAATAATTTATAACAATGTTTCTTTCGTATGTAACTAAAATTATTTTCAGAAAAATATTGTAATTTATTAAAAATTTCTAAAAATATGATTGTGATAATATGGATATGACGTTCGTATTTAAATTAATATAAAAATGTTGTTCTTTACTGCTTTTCTGACGTTTATCTATCGTATTCAAGCGTGAAACATCATTTTTTTCTGATGTTGATAGAAAATACTTCACTTAATGATGAGCATGAATATAGATCTTTTTTATAATCTTTACTTATTAATTGAAAAGTTGGTTACTAAAGGTACGTACACTTTCTTCTGTGATTAATGATTAATAACTAATTTTATACGCTTTACGGTAAAGAAATGATATTATTCATTAATATAATTTGTCAAAATCTTTTAATATTAATTAATTATTAACTATATTTTATTATACTTCAACTTCTTTGTAGTATAATACAATATTGATAAAAAATTTTATCATTAAAAAATTATTGCTGGCTTTAATTTAATTAGATATCAAATTATTATCGGTACAATAATTGAAACGCTATTGATTCTCTTTAATTATAGATCCGCTTATAGAATGAAATGGTTTAATTTGAATTATTTCTAGTTTACTTTTTTCGGTATAAGCAGGCTATAGATCGTTGCAGTCTTTGTACCATAACTATTCGAGTGTAAAACGAACTCAATTGATAATAGATGTATATTCATACGACAAAGGACAATAATAAGACGTTTGATGGAGAGAATGATCTACTTATCCCGGTCGAAATATTCTGTGGAAAGATTCTTCGTTCTTAAGAGTAGTTGACGTGAACAGCGTCCAATGATCGAGGTAGACTAGCTCGAGAGGTATGGGAGTGGACGTTGGATCCTTCGTCACGCATCAGTACCAAGTTAGATGACTGGTCTCCTCCTCTGAGCTTTTCGCGGTCCCACTATATAAACTAATAACCCGGTATAGCACGAATGTCAGTTAACATATTATTGGCGAAGAGGTCGGTCACAATTGCAAGATAAGTGAAGTTTTTGAGGTAAAACGTGATCATAAAGTGAGTTATAAGAAAAAATACAGAAAAGGAATAAAAGAAATCTAGATGCTGGAAAGATGTTACTGCTGTATATGCTACTATTTCTACCTGTGTTCGTCGCAGCACAGGGATTGCAATCAACGAAGACCCTGAATCGAGAGATGATACGGAACAACTCTACAGGCTCTTTAGATTGGATTGGCGAAAGCTTTTTGAACATCGTTGATACATTTTCACCAGTTTCAAAATCGTGTGATAATATAGAAGGTATTAACAATAATAATTATTTGTGGCTAAATGTAGACAATTCTATTCATTTTTAAATCTTGTATATTTATCTAATGTTTGATAAAAAAAGAAGTTCAGATTTTGTTTTATTTTATTTTCTTATTAAATAATAATATATTTTATTTTCTTATTAAAAAGTGTATAGACAAGAAACAATCAATAAGACATAATCAAATAAAAAAACTTTTAATAAAAGTTATATATATTTTTTATATTAATTACTGTTACACTTTTAATAATATTCTGGATTTTAACAAAAAAATTTTTATCTGTTTTTATAAAATTTAAATTTTGATATATAATTTTTATATTATATATGTA